ACGGCCTATTACGTACTGTCACGTTTTGTTGCGTTCACCCTGTTTTACTGCGGTCTACTACGTTTCTCATCTGCACCGTGACTGCCATGGCAAATCTTTTGACAAATTAATAATTTGGCGCAGCATCCACGGCAATCACGGCCTGTCACGTTTGCCCATTCCGTACCCCGCGTTGTCTCACGTCCATCCCGTTTTGTCCACGGTGGCCTGAAACGGGGCTGCCGTGGCCGCCGGGAACACAGTGTAAACGCAGCATAACTGTGTATCACCGCCGCATCGCTGCACTGCCGGACCGCCGGGAGCGCGGTGTATCACCGCCGCACCGCCGGGAGCGCGGTGTGTATCACCGCCGCACCGCCGCACCGCCGCACCGCCGCTCCGCCGCACCGCCGGGAGCGCGGTGTGCGCGGTGTTCATGCGTTCCCGCATCACTGCGGCGCTCTAGCTATCATCGCGCCTCATGACCGCTGTTACAATATACACACACAGATTATAGGTACTTTATTGCCGATTCAGCTCCTTCTCCAGCTGGCAGACGAGAGAACGGTCGCCTTCCCATGAATTCGAAGGTGCAATACTCTATGAATGTTTGACCTGTCTCGTAGCCATTTCTCTTGTAAATCTCCTGGAAAGTTATATACGGGAATAGATATCTGCGTAATGATAGTTTTGTAGCTCTTACAAATGGTATTATTTGGGGATCACATAGAATGCAGTTAGATAGACCAGAAATTCCTAGAATAACGACTAAAATTAGGTTGCATGGAGCTCGTTAGAAAAGATATACCATCAATGACATCGATAATAAAATCTACTTGCAGATAAAAAAATCCGCCTGGCGTGATTGACAGGAGCTCCGGCCAATCAACATTGCCATAGGGGCGTTTAGTAATGGTGAACCGTAAAGTTGACAATTTGGGGGTGGAGTGGATAAAAACGACCATACGAAATCAGTCCGGTTTGACCGACCTAGCAACTATACACATGGTGGTCAATCGTCGTTAATCCCTTTTAACCATGAAGGTTAAATTAAACACTACAATCCGCAGGTGACCGGTGTCATGCGGATATGAAAGCATGATCCTCACCTGCATTACCCGGTTCGTATTGACAGTGACGATGCATTCGTACTTTCCCAGCTTGGCTTTCCTGTATATCTCCTCGACCATCATGTTCATAAGTCTAAGATTCTCCTGGGAGGTCAGCGAGACGTCGCTGGCCATGTAGACACTGCGTAGAACCTTGTCCGGCGGAATTCCCTTCCGCTCGATGTCCCGTATCACATCTCTCTCTGCGCGTTCCAGCACGGCTACTAGTGGCGCCATCACTGGAGGATGTATCCACGCTGGTTCGTCGGCCATGCTGAAATTGATGGCGCCGGCGATCACTCTGTTGTCTCCGTCGACGACTACAAAAGTTTCCTTGGAGTTGACGATGTCGTTCCAGTGCGATTTCCGTACGGCAATGTGTAGTTCGGTGGTGAGGCCCTCCAGTTGACTATCCATGGCTCCCTTACTGAGGAATCCGGCCGCTCCGATGTGAAGCAGCGCTGTTGGCTCGCTGCACTCACACATCGGCATCACTCTGTAGTCGGCGTGTGCGTCGGGGAGGGCCACGTCAGCGCGAGCAGGCCGCACGGCCCGCACCACCTGCTTCAACGTCGCCGCGCTGACAAACTCCGGTATGGAGAGCGAGAGAGCGGCGTCGGCCAGACGCTGCACGAACAGAACCCCCGTGACGGAGTCACCGCCGACGCGAAAGAAGTCGTCGTTCAGGTGTAGTCCGCCAGGTGGCAGCGCGAGCAGCTGTTCGGCGGTCGACAGTACGGTGGCGGCGACGCGCTGTTCGTCCGGCGAGAGGTCGTCGCACGACTTCGCGTCGTTGTCGCGCGACACTCTGCGCTGCGTGTGCCAGCTACGGAGCGTCTGTCTGTCCAGCTTTCCGCTCGTCAGCATCGGCATGTGCGTGACCAGCACGGCGTCTGGCAGCATGTACGCCGGCAGGTGTCGCGACAGGTGGTCGAGCATGCTGTCTTCGCTCACCTCGTGAGAACTGCGCGTGAAGTAGACGACGATGACCTGTGTATCTAGCCCGCTGTCGTGGCACAGCACGGCCAGTTCGTCCGTACCTTGTAACACGAAAGCAATCATGGTGCGTTAGCCTGAAGGCATGTACATATCTATGCTCGCAGGCACGCGCACGCGCACGCACACGCACATATACACACGCACGCAGGCACGCACACGCACATACACACACGCACACACATGCACATACACACACGGTGCGGACCATACACGCGCGCACGACGCGCGGCGCGAGCCACAACACACACACACAGACACACACTACACACACACACACACACACACACACACACACACACACACACAGGCACGCAGGCACGCACACTTACGCACACATGCACGCGCACACGCACACGCACACGCAATCCACACACACAAGTCATTTCACACACACACACACACACACACTCCACACGTTCAATGCACGAACTATACCATCGTACCTCCAAACAACCTCGCAGCGGTTTCAATCTCTGAGAGGTCGACCCTGCGTCCACGCACCTTCACCTGCGCGTCCGCCCTTCCCTCGAACACCAGCGCTCCATCGACGACCCGCGCAAAGTCCCCCGTTCGAAACAGCACGTCGTATCCCGGCACGTCGCAGAAGACGTTCTTCACGAACCTGTTCTCGTGTCCGTCGGGCGCGCTGCCGACGTAGCCGGCGGCGACGCCGTGACCGGCCACGTACATCTCTCCTTGCTCTCCCGTCGGTACGTGCCTCAGCGACGCGTCCAGCACGTAGACGACCGTGTTGTAGATCGGTCGGCCGATCGACACCTTACCGTCTGTTCGCGGCAGCGGCGACGCCGAGCGGAACACCTCGCACGTCACGTCGCCCGTCACCTCCGTGCTGCCGTACAGGTTACAGAGCGTGTGGAGCTCGCTGGGAAAGCGCTCGAAGAACTCTCGAAGGAGTTCGGCGGACAGCGTCTCACCGCTGCACACCCACAGCCGAAGCCTGCGCAGGTGTCGCCGCCTACCGGCGTCCAGCTTGAGGTAAGCGAGGAGCATGCGCAGTAGCGACGGTACGAGTACGAGCCGAGTGACAGCTCGCGTCTCTAGTACGTCGACGAAGCTGGGCGGGTCACGTGTCGTCGCCGCACCGACGACGACGACGGGCACGCAGCGCAGCAGCGAGCCGAACGCCTCCTGGAGGTGATCGACGAACGTCGTCGACGTCTTCAGGCACGCGACGTCGTCGGCAGCGAACGGAAACTCGCTCCACTGCCAGCGCAGCCGGTTGACGATGGAGGTGTGCGTGAGTCGCACGCCCCGTGGCTTGCCCGTGCTTCCCGACGTGTAGAGCACGCAGGCGAGCAGCGCAGCATCGCGCGCCTGCGGCAGCCGCTCGCTGGGCTTCAGCCTCCCCGCGGCGACGTCGTTCGCCGACGTCATCAGCTCGTCGTACGTAAAAACAGGCGTCGGCGCGGCGGCGAACGACCGCGTCGCCTCCTCGAGCGTCGCGTCGCGTCGGTCGGCGACGATGCACAGCGGTCGCGCGTCGCCGACGACGTACGCGAGGCGACGCGCGGGGAAGCGCGGGTCGACGGGCAGGTAGGCGGCGCTGCTCTTCAGCACGGCGAGCAGCGCGACGACGAGACGCTCGCTCGGCGCCATGGCGACGACGACGACATTGTCGCGCGTCGCCGCGACGTGCTCGCCGATTTCACCCACCAGGCGGCGCGCGAGGCGGTTCGACGTCCGGTCGAGTTCGCGGAACGAGACGCGCGTGCCGACGAAGAAAACCGCGGTGCTGTTCAAGAACTGTTCGTTGCCCGCGTCCTCTGCTGCCGATATGAGTTTCTCGAACATGTCGTGAAGAGTCAGCCCCTCTGTGAGGGGAACCGACCTTCCGCAGAGCTGGCTAGATTGGGCACTTGCCATCGTGATGTTCATCATGTGGTCCACTGTGATCCCTGTGAATCGTTGTGGGAAGTATACAGGAACACCATAAATGGTTAAAACGTCACACGTATAAAAAATATTATAACTTGTTCGACTCATGTTATATCATGAGCGAATGTTATGGCATTTTTGGCTTATTCAGAGTGATGAATATTTGTGATGTTTCTGCCAACGGGTCCCTGGAAGTGAGAATAAACTACATATAATATGCAGGCTTTCTATTTGTGAATGATCCATTATTTTGCAGATTAAACTCTGCACAACTATGGCGGATGCATTTTCAATATCATTCCGTTTTCGAACAGGAATTGTTGCGATAGCAGACGAGAATTCAGTCGCCATTTTGTTTCCGTGTACGGTCGCATCTTTTTTCTCAATTACTGAACACTTCACGTGCACTGAACACTTCATATTGCAGCTATCTCGCATGACTCACCGTCACCCTAAATCAGTCAAACACATGCAGAAATGTAGCGTTGCGTCGAAATTTGAACATGGTTTAGAAGAATGATATTATAATCAACCAGAACGAATGCAACGTCTGCTACTGTGCTCATTTCGGGGTAGCCGCGGCATCAATAACAGGTGACGCTAATGCACAATGTGGCCATTCTGCCAACATTGGTGGGTCACCTGCTGTTATATATCCGGTGCCTCTTCTCATTAGCTCCCTTTACATTCCAGCCACTCGATCCTTCTCTGTTGTTTCAGCCGAGTCCTACATCATTATCCTGCATGTTCCGTCCGAATATATCAACCCCCATACTGTACCCTCTTCAATGAAAGGCCCCAAATTTGTTTGCCAGCCCCTATCATTGCTTCGTAATATTCATCACCTTTAGACTGCCATTGCTTACTGCTCTTACTGGGCGGGTATATATTTTAGCATGTGTGGTCCACTAAACGGTTACGATGACAAACTATCTCACTGACCACCACGTACTATCATTAATCAGCTCTTGATCAGCTCTGGATTAGCTCTTGATCAGCTCTTGATTAGCTCATGATCAGCTCTGGATTAGGTTTTGATCAGATCTGGATTAGCTCTTGATCAGCTCTGGATTAGCTCTTGATCAGCTCTGGATTAGCTCTTGATCAGCTCTTGATTAGCTCTTGATCAGCTCTTGATTAGCTCTTGATCAGCGCTTGATTAGCTCTTGATCAGCTCTTGATTAGCTCTTAATCAGCTCTGGATTCGATATTGATACGCTCTTGATCATATCTTCTCAACGATGCATGTGGGGTTAGTACGTTCGCTCAGATGGTGAGGTTAAGCTGCATGCACTACATGTTCTGCTTGCATCTATGACAAATACGACATACGCATATACGAGAGTCAACTTCGTTCCGCTTTACATCTCAAATTCACTGCTTGCGTTCATAATAGCGCTCCTAAACTCCTATGATGCGCACAACATATACAACAATATTTGTCATAGGAAGAATCTTCCTATGACAAATAGTGTCATAGGTGAGCGTATATGCGTATGTCGTATTTGTCACAGATGCTAGCAGAACAGGCTGACATGCAGAAGAGTTTCTATTTCTCATGCGTTGATAGCACGGCAGCGGCAACCTATGGGGAGATTTCCCTCGTGTCATCATCTCCTCCCGATCATCCTCCCATCATCATCCTCCCATCATCTCTCCCCTCATCACAGTCCTTACTACGAGAAATTTCTTGAACGATAAACATAAGGAATTGGCTGAGACTGCTTAGCTGCACAGACGACTGCGTTTGGGGTATTCTTTCGAAACCGGTTGTTTTGCGCTGCTGCGTCGTTCCTGAGATACAAGACTATCCTTGCTGTGCTATAACACCTTAACTACAGCCTATGGCATCTAACTGTATCTGTACCTGCCCCTTCAGGGCTGACTCAATGACTCTCCGAGATCCGGGTTTCTAAATAGTATTTCACGATAAAATGTTGTGCCGTCTCCACTGACCTACATATATATATATATATACAACCCGACTACACATAAATCAGTGGTCACGCCTCGCGAGCCAGCCGCGAGCCAGCTCGCGAGCCAGGTGTGTTTTTTAACGAACTGACTTACCCATGTGAGCGCGACAATCGCCTCTCCTTGGATGTTGTTACTGGGGCGGTTACCCCAATACCACAAACTTAACCTTCTTTTCACTTTCTTCTTTTCTCTCTCTGTGTGTTTTTCACACCGTCTCGCCCCTTGTCTCAGTGTCTCTATATCGCATCGTTTCCTTCCTCGCCCCACGCTCATGTTATCGCCCACGGCGATGAATTAGTACGGCCGATTACCACCAGGTGGCTGGCCGTCTTTAAGCTAAAACTTTTGAATTTTATACAAGGGAGATATAATGATCCGCTAGAGGGACGATAAACGTTAAAGGGATAGTAGCCTCTAGGATTTTACTGCATACAACTGTACTTACTGTATAACAAATCGTCTATACCCACATGTATTTGTCACCAGATACTTAATTAATTATTTACACATCAACGCTACGAAATTTGAACGGCGCCATGACACCCGCGACCGTGCTGCCACCCTGAAAAGTTGCGTATTTGCATTTTTATTTTGCAGGTAAATGACGAGGGCTAATCACAAAAAGTGCAATTATATTTATACCTAAAATGCTATTTAACCGAACGATATTCATTTTAGGGCAAATTTATCCATATTATAACTGAAACTATATGTCGTTTATAAGATATTACAATCCTTTTGCTTTTAAATGAATAAATAAGAAATACCCTCGGTCTGTAGCCCTTGGCTGGAAAGTGGTTTTGCGCAACTTCTCAGATCGTGCGCTTTGAGTGGCGCCACCGTCGTTGTAATCAAACTGTAGTCGTTAGTTTTAAAACATTAAAAAAAATATTCTAATGGTGATTGAAGCATGAAACTTTTATGTAGCGCAATTATAACCTAAATTAGCTGAAAATAACCCTAGAACCTAGAGGCTACTGTTCCTTTAACAAAATACCATTTAGTTAAAAAATCTACGATTAGCAATGTTTGTGCAAGATAGTGTGTGGTGTGTATCACAGGCACTTGAAGCGTTTCAATAAAATATAATGCTAAATAAATACGAAATCTATAGTACTACAAAATTCTTAATGTTTCTTTACTCTCTTTCACCTATATATATATATTTAACTGTCACTGTGCACCGTCGGCAATGGCGGCCGGTTAGTGTGTGTGCATAGAGCATTTACACGGAATTTACAGGAAACTGTCGGCAATAATAGGTGAAAGAGAGTATAGAAACATTAAGAATTTTGTAGTACTAGTATTATATTTCGTATTTATTTAGCATTATATTTCATTGAAACGCTTCAGGTGCCTGTGGTGTGTATGAGCAAGAGTGAGTGTGCAAAGTGGGTATGTGACATTATTTCTGTAGTGTGATGAGTGTATAACACAGTACTAGATAAACTTTGGAGATTGTTTATATTGTAACGTTTTTGCCTTCTTCTCCACCGTCTTGCCCTCTATCCGTGATCGTATACTAGGTTCGGGCGTGGCCGAAGTTTTCCTCGGGAAGTTACGTCTCCCACCCAGATTCTACCAGGACTCGCGGACGAAACGAACAACACTTTTATTGACACACTACTCACTACACGGCAGGGTGGTCGCCAGTCACAGCAGCGATCCACTCTCACCTACGAGGAATATGCTGGGTGCTGGCGCACAACACGTCGCCACTCTTACTCTACCTCTGCATCTCACCGCGTTGGAGATTCACTCCGCTCTCACTGCGCGCGCGACGATGCTCTCCTCGCTTACACAACCATTACAAACGTCCTAGCCATTCGGCCTATGATTAGCACTACAAAGTAGAGAGCGTGCTGATAACACGTCCGACCTCTTCAGGGGTGTGTACAGGGGAGGGTCCAGTGGGTCCGGACCCCCCCCTTGCTCGCGTAGAAAACGCATCTGAGAAGGTCTAATTTCAAAATTTTTAAGGGGGAGGGCCCCCCAGACCCCCCCTTTGCGTGCTCGCAAGTTTGGGTTACGGTTAGACCCCCACCTGGTCCAAATCATGTACACGCCTCTGCTCTTCTACTGTTGGCCGTCAAGAGAGCAGGCACGCTCGCCTGATATCACAATGTCATGCGCCCACACGCTCTCTTGCTTGCGCCCCCTATAACATTAATTCCTGCCTGATCACAATGAATGTATAACTATAACGTTGACGATAGTACAAGGAGATGACGGGCAACACACGGACAGGATCGACTTCGCCACAATATCATCATAATTCATAATTCGTAGATTTCTATCAATAACTAATAAATATATTCTTTAAATAATATTTATGAATTCTTCTTCACGCCGGTCTCGCCCGCTCTCTCGGTCTGTCTATTCCCTCGTTTCTCGATGATTCAACCGCGGTATAAATGCTCCAACCGCGGTATAAATGCTCCAACCGCGGTATAAATGATTCAACCGCGGTATAAATGATTCAACCGCGGTATAAATGCTCCAACCGCGGTATAAATGATTTAACCGCGGTATAAATGATTCCTATTTCTACTTCCCTTCTCTCGCCTTCTTCTTTATCTCTTCCTCTTTCTTTCTCTATCTCCTTTTCACTGAGGTATAAATGATTTAACCGCGGTATAAATGATTCAACCGCGGTATAAATGATTCAACCGCGGTATAAATGATTCAACCGCGGTATAAATGATTCAACCGCGGTATAAATGATTCAACCGCGGTATAAATGATT